TTGGTGTCTGAATTTGACCAATCCAATTTGCATGACCAGATGAATCTAGGCAAAAATTTAAATGTGGAATTCCATGGCTTTTCCAGGTTTTCCATGACCTTGGGAACTATATATGTCTATACTGAGCATACGACTGGATAAATAAGACTTGCATTGTATTGCTTGGGTTGTGTGAGAGTATGTGAACAGATCTTTTGACAAAATTTTGTAGTTTTTGTTGTATAACTCAGTCCCCTATGACATACATATATTTTTTATTTTATCTATATATTTACGAAAAGGGACAGTGTGCATTAACCAACATGTTAACACATGTAAATCCACCCAAACTAGATGAAAGGCTCGTTTTCATCGGCAGTCCCTTCACCGGCTATAAAAAGGCATCCTGGAAAAATTAAAAGCAACAATAAAATACAGAATGTAAAACAGGTCAGAACATATTTCATCTCATACATTAATGCATCCCAGAATGTCAACAACCAACACACCCAGGGTGCCTTTCATGACGTATGTAGACGTGGAAAGTCCATGACCAAATGTTAATATGTGACAAGGTTGGAGTGAGAATGTGTTGACCTAGTAGGCCAGATTGGACCCTTTGGCGGGCCAGTTCTGGCCCCTGGGCCGTATGTTTGACACCCCTGACCTAAGGGATCTCTTTCTGGTGTGAACACGATGAGCATGTCAGCAACAAAAGACGGAGCTAAACCATTTGGGAGTTCAAGTATTTCGTGGTCTTGTTAACGAGTGAGGGTAGAATGGAGCGTGAGATGGATCGGCGGTTTGGTGCAGCGCTGAACCGCCATGGTGGCAAAGACAAAGCTTTCGATTTACTGGTCCATCTCCGTCCCAACCCTCACCTATGGTCATGAGCTCTGGGTAGTGACTGAAAGAATGAGATCGCAGATACAAGCAACCGAAATTAGTTTCCTCAAAAGGGTGTCTGGGCTCAGCCTTAGAGATAGGGTGAGGAGCTCGGAGTAGAGCCGCTGCTTCTTCATGCCGAAAGAGGCCAGTTAAGGTGGTTCGGGCATCAGATCAGGATCCTCCTGGGCGCCTCCTGTTAGAGGTGTTCCAGACACGTCCCACTGGTAGGAGGACCCGGGGCAGACCCAGAACACACTGGAGGGATTACATATCTCATCTGGCCTGGGAACACCTTGGGGTCCTCCAGGAGGAGCTGGGAAGCGTTGCTGGGGAGAGGGACGTCTGGGGTGCTTTGCTCGGCCTGCTGCCCCCGTGACCTGGCCCCAGATTAGCAGATAGAAATGGATGGACGGATGGGACAAAATCCCGTTAAAGATAAATATTACATGTAGTGTTATCAAGAATTTTCTCAGTTTTTGAATTTGGCACACCAGAAAAATCGTTTGTAATCGATACATTTGAGTAACCGATATACGGACAACCATTTTTTGGGGTGAATTATTCCTTTAACACTGAAACACAGAATACAAAGGTTTGACCAGACACCAGTTCACACGCACAAACATTACAACAAAACAAACCACAAACAGCAATTCATCAGTTTATATTTACTTTTCAAATTTATTTTTAAATCTTTAGTATCTTATCTTTTAGTGTGTTTGGTATAATTATACATTGGTTGGGTGCATACAGTAAGTCAGGACTGATAACAGGAGTGCATCTGTAAATCAAAGGACAAACTAAGGATCCNAGAAGAAGAAGAAGAAGAAGAAGAAGAATACCTAGATTACAATAGTTTAGCTGCCTGGACCCTAATGATATAACAACTACAGATGGTATTACACATGATTGAGAAAATAGATGATCATGATATTCCGTCCATCCATTTTCATCCATTTATCCGAGGCCAGGTCACAGGGGCAGCAGGCCAAGCAAAGTACCCCAGACGTCCCTCTCCCCAACAACCCTTTCCAGCTCCTCCTGGGGGACCTCAAGGCGTTCCCATGCCAGACAAGATATATAATCCCTTCAGCATGTTCTGGGTCTGGGTCCCTCCTATCGGTGGGACGTGCCGGAAACATCTCTAACAGGAGGCATCCTGATCAGATGCCCGAACCACCTCAACTGACGTCTTTCGACATGATGGAGCCGATGTCCATGTTCCTCACCCTATCTCTAAGGCTGAGCCCTCACACTCCATTATATCGTCACTCATGAATAAGACCCGGAGATACTTGAACTCCTTCTCTTGGAGCAGTGACTCTCCCCCTGGACGGGGCAATCCACCAGTTTCCAAACAGCGAACTATGGCCTCAGATTTGGAGGTGCTGACCCTCATCCCAACTGCTGCATGATATGGGAACAAATTGCACAAGAAGAAAAGTAGATCTGTTAAAACCTGGAGTACGTTAAAAAGCAACCAGTTGAAGAAGTGTAGCAGGAAGCTACCAGAGCTGACGCACAGACGGGGGCAGAGGTCGACTGGAAGTTTGCTCAGTATTGCTTTATAGATAAANGCACCTTTCTTTGCTGAGAGTTAGATTAGAAATTAACACGACTTTCATATCTGTAAGAAAAATATGAAACTACAGTCAGGACACGATTAGCTTAGCTTAGCATAAAGACTATGAACAGGAGCAAACAGCGAGACTGTGTTGATGAATTTTTCTTTACCTTCAGGCAGAGCCGAACTAGCTCCTCCCCCTAACACCGTGTTCACACTACGAGTGAAACAGCAACAGGCCACAAGTCATTTTCAGTGGAAGCCAGCGACATGAGGCCAAAAACTGACATCCAACACGTCGCTATGGACGGCCATGATGCACCACAAATCAAAGTTGAACCTCCCTCAATTTTCTTTTCAGCTTTTGTCTAGCTTAGCGGTTCCCAACTGGTGGGCTGCGGGCCAAAAGTGGGTTGCAGGTCCATTCTGAATGGACCAAGAACAAATCTGGACCAGTTGGGAACCACTGGTTTAGCTAAGTAAGCTGCACGGATGTAAAATAATACGTAGATAACGTGTAACAAGATGGCCCCCGTTCATTCTAGGTGGAGTTGCTCGTCTGGCGCATACGCCAATAAATGTTTCTAGCTTCTAGGTTTACTTCCATGGGATACGGCCAACTGAATAAACGCCTCCCTCTAGCTCCACTCGCAAGTTCCCGCTCGGCTCGTAGACTTTACATAGTGATTACGTCATAGCTTTTTAAATGGCTTTTCTCAGCTTGAGGAAAGTGTAACAAATATTACACCACCATGGTTAAAAAACTCATAACAGACGGAGTCATAATTGACCTTGTTTGCAGTTCGAGGTGTCCTGTTAGCAGTTTTACTGACGCTTTTTGTGCTGCTGGGGATTTTTCGCTGCAGTACCGCGAGTGGCCACTGGGTGAAATTGGCTGCTAGGCTGAGTTGCATTCCTGGGGGCCTGGTTAGCTGATGCTATGCTAACTTTCTGTGTACTGTGGTGCACACACAGATACACAGGGGTGGCTAAATGTGACGTTAGCATGGGGCTCAGATGTTGACGAAAAGCACAGATACATTTCAAACCACAAACAAACTTCAGACTTTCAGTAGAAGTGCTTTGAGGCAAGTAGCGACACACACACAAGCCCCTGATGATGCAACTGCGTTAACGAGCACTTGAGCTGCGACCCGGCGATGATGTAGCTCGGTACATTGTTGCTGTGTCGCTTGTAGTTTGAACACAGCATACGCTAAGCTCGAGCTTCATAGTTAGCATACAGAAACGAGAGAGGGATCAATGTTCCCATCTACCTCTCAGCAAAAATGTTAAAATATTCCTTTAAAAATGTCCCGTTTAAACATGCCAAACATTTAAGACACAGCTTTTAGTAGCTTCCATCTTAAACCGATATTTTTGGCCTTCGTATGCATTTTAGCTGAACCGGATTTTTACACCTGCAGCTTCAAAATGTGAGTTTTAGTTTCACGTGTTGGTCTGAATCCTGTTTCAAACAATCAACACATCAGAGACATTGGTGGAAACATAGTCGGGTGTAGCCATCAGACCAGTTCAGTCACAGCCAGACAGAAGCCTCAGTTCTCTACGACAGACAACAGGCAGGTCAGGGAGGAGACTGGAGGAGCAAAGCAGAGCAGAGGGGGACAGATGGAGGAAAGATGGAGGAAATGTACGACAGAGAGAGACGCTGGGGCCTTGGACCAGGTCGGAGCAGGTTACAAGTGAAGGCTGCAGTACAGGCAGCTGCTGCTGGAACAATATTCAGTCAGAGAATTTCTATCTACACTTAACTCGACTCATTCTCGCACTGAGTGTCATGGTTTTCATACATCAATATTCAGCTCAACTCATGAATAAATTAGTCAAAGAGAAAGGCACAAGCGCCGGGCGTCACGGCAAAGACCTGCTGCGTGCTCTCATGTTTCCCTTCACCTTTCTCTTGCCTTTTCTCACTCTCTTCTCACGTACTGTTACACCGCGCGCTGGTTATATTATGATGTGAATCCCTCATGACAGACTTCCTCTCATTCAAGCACAAACAGATTTGTGACATAAATTCAGTCGCACATCCAACTGTTGATTTAGTCTGACACTACGAGCCTCTCCGTGCCAAAGCATCACCATTAGATTGAAAAGTTGTTCGTCCTCGTCCCTGATCCTCTCCACAGCTATCCTACATACCGTCAGCCTCGTTCTTCTCACCTCCACGCTTCAACAACACGCCATCCGCCCCAGTTAAAGTCGCGTCAGCAACACAAGCCTATAAGTCGAGCAGAGAAGGTAAACAGGAAAAAAAAGAGGCAACAGGCAACCCTGATTTTCATCATCAACAACAACAACAACAACACCCTCCTCCTCCTCGTTGTTGTCTCTTATTCCGACTCTTCCCTCATTGTTTTCTTGGTCATGTTCCCAAATAAAGCACAATAAACACACATGGTGCAGAAAAAGTGCACCAACATATTTGTTATTCCTTGGCCTCATATATAAAAATCAGAATATTCAAACAGCAACAGTATTAATCCCAAAAATATAATATATAAACATAAATATATCAATTAGTTTTGCTGGATTTTTCTTTGTGTTTTTTTTTTTTTTTTTTTAATTGGAAGCACATGCCACCCGTGTAGCTGGCGTCTGATTGGCTTAGGCAGAGCAGGGGTCTGCGGTCATGTGATTGGAGGATGGGAGAGGTCAGGAGCACGCAGGTCCTGGCACGTGTGTGTGGTCAGAGTGGCCATCATCTGGAGTTGAGTCTGGGAGCCGTCTGGAGGAGGAGAGAAATATCACATCACGTCAGAGTCAACAGAGCGACAGCTACTGGACAGACGCAGGAAGTAACCACATGACAACAACAGGAAGTGCAGAACTTTACACCAATTTCTGGAACTTTCTTGGTCCAAATAACACTGATGTACTGATTGATGAGGGGTCTTCACTAACCTGACAGATCAGCCGTGCCGCTACCAACAAAAAGTGGGTTCATGATTTTTACTGTTTTTTTTTTTTCCCAGAAGTTTGGCTCAAAAAATATTTCCAGTGTTGTGTGGATGAATTTCACAGCCCTATTAAACAGCCCTGCTAAACACACACATCAACTTCTCATCTTTAATTTTTTTTTCAACAACACTGGGATTGTTCTAAGATAATAAGTTGAATGAAACAGATATTTTAAGCCACTCAGAGGCAGAGCAACAAGCTGTAATCACGACATTAACGGCCCTGAAAACCCACTTTCTCAACGAGCTTCTTGCTGTGAACGATAAAGTTTTACAGAAACACAATATATTCTGCTGAGGGTCGAACACTTCTGGTTATTTCACGCAATATTTTCTGTATTTTTGTTCTCTGTGGTTTTAAGCAGGTGGGACTCAGTTAGGAAAAGGTGACGTCACATATTTTGGTGCAGTCTTTGAACATAAAATCCTGCACACTGCTCTTGCTCAGCTTCACAATTTATCAGTAAGACTAACATTCCAATCCTCCTTGACCTTCATCAAGAGTGTTGAACATTCTTGATGAAGGTCATTTTATCCTACTAGACATTTCTGTTGTCATAGTGTAAGAATTTTTGAGTTATGGCCAAAAACATGTTTTGTGAGGTCACAGTGACCTTTGACGACAAAATTCGAATCAAAATTCTTCAGTCAAAGTGGACGTTTGTGCCAAATTCAAAGAAATTCCCTTAAGGTGTTTTTGAGATATCATGTTCACAAGAATGAGACATATACAAGATCACACTGATCTTGACCTTTGGCCACCCTAAATCTAACCAGTTCATCCTCGAGTCCGAGTAAACGTTTGTGCCACATACAAAGACATTTCCTCACAGTTTTCTTGAGATATCACATTTTTAATTTACTCGCACGCCATTCTGTCTGTTGTACTAACCTCAACATTTGTTTATTGTGTTTCATCAGACTCACCACAGACAAGTGTCCATTCTTCGCCTTGGCCACCAGTAGTTCTGATCCGGGCGTGAAGTCGATGACGCCCTCTTTCCCCTGACCCACTGTAAACTTTATACTGCAGGAGGAACAGAAGGAAGGTTAGACAGTACTTCTTCTGTAGATGCTTCGGTGTGGAGGAGTAGATTTATTTTTGTGTTACACTGCTGTCAGTGTTACGTAAGCACACACACACACACACACACACACACACACACAGGAAGACAGAGTAACTTTGAGTGTCCAGCGTTACTGTGATCATGTCCTGCCTCTCACCTGCCCTGGTTGATGTTGATGGTGTTCATTTTGTCAGCACAGATCGCAATCTTGGTCAAGGTCTCAATCACGTAGTCGCTCTGCAGAACCACATCGCCCTGTGAGGACACGTCAAACACACACCGTGAAACCTCAGCAGAACAAACCACAAAGCGACATGAGATCTGGTTCATGTATGACGTTTATAACATGTCTTTGGTCTCACCTTCTGTTTGTTGTCATCACTGGGCACGTGCAGAACAAACAGGCCGTCGCTGAGGGAGCTGACGGAGATACCTGCAGACGACAGACAGTTTTAATGAGCACCAACACAGTCCACATTAAACAGACACACCCCCCCTTCGCAGATGATGACCAGCTGTTGACCTCTGACCTTTCAGAGCGCCATAGTCGATGCGCTGTTTGAGTTTTCCCTCCTCTACGATGACGGCGCTGTTGCCGGTGAGCAGCAGCTGGCGGGGCCGAGCCTTGTAGCCTTTCCTGTCGTACTTGGTGACTGGCACTGCGTACTGGGAGCACAAGGATGACGGTCAGAACAGTCCATGAACACACACGCTCACACACGGCTTTTAAAACACTCTTTGTGTTGTGACGCTGCTCCACTAACCTTCATCTTCTCAGTGCCCAGAGCCTGCACCACTTTGGGGTTGATGTCCTCGCCATCTGAACGAGAGGAGACACGCTGCTGTAATCTTTCACACAGTGAGCAACATGAAACCGGGACAAGTTTCACAACTCATTTGTTGCAGAGGGAAAAAAGTCTTACTGAGTCTGGTGCTGACGAACAGTTTGGGCACGCTCTGTGGGTAGTTGTCCTTCTTGTCCTTGAAGATCTCGCTGGCGATCATCTTCTGCTCCATCTGCTCAAACAGGTTAGATGTCAGTGAAGCAAACAAGAGACAGCCAGCGTACAGAGAGTGTGTGTTGACAGGTGACGGAACAATAGGACAACACTCACCTGGTGTTTCCACTCAGGACTGATCTTCTTGCAGTAGCTCCACACCATGTTCTGCATGCACAGCTTACGCAGATGGTCTGACGCCTAAAGACACAGACAGAGTGTTTTCACTAAAGCTCTGCTGCAGAAACAAAAATCTGTTTCTAGTCACACACACAGTAAGTGGAGTTATTAATACATACAGGATATGTGAGTAGCCACTGTAGCAGGTTTATCTGCTATAGACTAATGACAGCTGCCCAAAAATGAAGCCAAACATCTCTGTTGCCCCCTGGTGGCGGGCTGCAGTATAGATCATAAACCCCTTCCCCTCCATGTAAGCAGACAGGACATGAGCCAAACTACAAACCCTTTTTTTGTTTGTAGGTACTTCTCATCACGCTGCTGTTCATTTGTTCATCTGATAGTTTGGTTTTCATTAGTTATTCGATGCTATAAAAAGAGGTTTGACGTCATGATTGACAGCTGTGTGTGCTAATCTGTGCGCTCGAGATTGGTAAAATGGGCGTTTGGGCCGGATGTCGACACCATGGACTGCACAGACTCTGGCTCTAAACGACGTCAATAGCACAAGACGGCAGCAGCTGTATCCAGGATATTTTTGCCTCATTTTTGTTCAGTGGGAGGAAGTGGAAACATGTTGCACAGTTTTTAAATGCAGTCTATGACAGTGGTTCCCAACTGGCTGATCATGGTCCAAAAGTGGGGTGCAACCGTGTCAGGTGTGAAAAACAACGACATTAACGTTTTAGAATTATAGTATCTGTATGTGTGTGTGTGTGTGTATATATATATATATATATATATATAATATTTAAAAAGAAATGTGACATATTAATCAGATTTCAAATAATCTATAGTAATATGGTCATAATATTAATGGAATATTTTTATACTAAATTATGATATCCTACAGTCCTCAAAATATTTTGCCCAGTCTCCAAAATATAAAAGAAGAAATTTTATTTGCAATATAAAAGTAAAATATAATAGTGAATATACCAAAACAAAATATAAGGTTTAATCCATAACTCTCTTCCAGTGGGGGAGGACGTATTACGATCCTTGTCTTAAGTAAAAGAACTAATACCACACTTAAAATACTCTGTTACTGGTGAAAGCTCTGCATTGAAAATGTTACTTAAGTAAAGTATGTGAGTACAATCAGGGAAATGCACTGAGGTATTAGAAAAACTGTAATCAATTTAATTAAAAAAAAAACAAAACTGAACTAATTAAAAGGAAAAGCAACAAGTGTTCATATTTATGAAGCTGGAACCAAACATTTTGCATGAAAAATGAGTTAAATGATAATCAAAATTAATATTATTAGAAATCACTAACGTCACTAGTAGCTAAAGTTATTAAATAATTGCAGTGAAGTAAAAAGTACAATATTTCCTTCTGAAGTTTGGTGGAGTAGAAATAGAACGTGGCATGAGATTAAAATAATCCAATCAAGTTAAAGTACCTCAAATTTGTACTTTAGGATTTTGTTTTATTCCACTGTAACTGCCCCAAAAAGTCTAGTGCTTTAACAATGCAAAGTCAAATTCTGATTTAAATGTGTTGTTTTTTTACACAAACCTTTTAAGTTGACGACCATGTTGAGCTATTTTTGGGGAGTGTGGTTTGTTCTTACCTCGACGAGAGCAGCTGGAGGTGTCGGCCAGCTCTTGTCCAGGACGTTCTTGGGCAGGTTCCTGCGCAGCTTCATGAGGAAGGAGTAGCGCACGTAATCCAGGAAGTACTCGTTCTCTGGACAGCGCTCTTTGTGGCGGTAGATGAAGCCTTTGATGAACCTGAAGACGGGACAAGAAAAGGAATTTTAAAGAAGGAAATTAAAAGGCTTTACAAAATCTAAACACTGTGCTCACATGTTGATGCACATCTGCTCTCAGAGTGAGGTGTATTTATCACAGAGTGTACCTGCGGATGGTGTCAGCAGCCTGTCGCCTGCGCTGTGCTCTCCTCCGGGCCAGGATCCCTCTCCACCATGCCTGGATGGCAATCGCTGCAACATCATCACAAACAGGTTCACTTCAGCTCACAGAGACACGTTTCTAAATGAACTCTAAAATAAGATCAGCAAGAGAAAAAGCTAAATGATCCCAGTGAAGATGTTTCCTCACCTGAGGTTCTCAGTTTTTGGTATTTGGACTTTTGGCTGTAGCCTCTCCATCCTGCCTGCAGCTTGGTGGCTGTGAGGAGGTGAAAAAGAAAAAGGAGGTGAATGGCGATAGATAATGAAAATATTCCCCTCACATCATCAACTGTGTCGCAGGCTCTCACCAAGACTGTGTTTCCTGGTCTCTAGTGCATCCTCAGTGGCAAACAAGGTCTTTGGGAAGCGGATGAAGATTTTGGATCTAAAATGTTGAGTTAAAAGTTAAACATGTGAAATCAAATATATTTTAAAGTGCAGCTCAGGGTCAAGAACAAAACACAAGGACGATGGAAACATCACAAAGGGCTACACAAGAGAAAATAGTTTTAAAAATGTAAAATAAAATGATCAGCTCTTCTTCTTCAGCCTGTAAACATGATCTGACTCATTTATTTAACTCATATTAAAGTACACATGTCTCAGTCTGTATCTGTTTCTGTCTGTGTGTTGCTCACCTGCCCAGTTTGTACTCCTCAGGCTTGTATCCCAGGTGTTTGACCAGTGTGGCCACTCCATCTGACAGCTTCCCCTGCCAGTTAGGCCACGTGTCTGGACACAGGGACTTATACCTACAAAGACACAAACACAGATGAGTACCAGACTACTGGTTCAGGAATTAAGCAGAAAGGTTAGAAAACACATCCTGGGTTTAAATCACCACAGCTCTACAGCTCAGTGATCAGCCTGTGAAAGCTTCTGTATCTGCAGTGCCAACCACCACACCACACTAATGTCCCCTCACAGCAAGAGTATGGGGGGTTTGAACCCCAGGGTGGAGGAGCCCTTCTGTGCAGAGTTTGCATGTTCTCCCCGTGTCAGCGTGGGTTTCCTCCAGGTGCTCCAGCTTCCTCCCACAGTCCAAAGACATGCAGGTTAATTGGTGACTCTAAATTGTCCGTAGGTGTGAATGTGAGCGTGAATGGTTGTCTGTCTCTATGTGTCAGCCCTGTGATAGTCTGGTGACCTGTACAGGGTGAACCCTGCCTCTCACCCAGCGTCAGCTGGGATAGGCTCCAGCACCCCCGTGACCCTAACACAGGGGTCAGCAGACTTTACCATCAAAGAGCCATTTTTGGCCAGTAAAGTTCTCAAATGGAGCCGCAAAACATATTTGAACCTTAGAATGAAGATAACATGAAGTCTACATTCGCCCATTAAAGGGATAGTGCACCCAAACATGAAAATTCAGCCATTATCTACTCACCCATATGCCGAGGGAGGCTCAGGTGAAGTTTTAGAGTCCTCACAACACTTGCGGAGATCCAAGGGGAGAGGAGGTAGCAACACAACTCCACCTAATGGAGGCTGACAGGGCCCCAGATTCAAACATCCAAAAACACATAATTGAAACCACAAAATAGACGAGCAGTATGGAGATATTTTGTGGTTTCAATTATGTGTTTTTGGATGTTTGAATCTGGGGCGCCGTCAGCCTCCATTAGGTGGAGTTGTGTTGCTACCTCCTCTCCCCTTGGATCTCCACAAGTGATGTGAGGACTATAAAGCTTCACCTGAGCCTCCATCGGCATATGGGTGAGTAGATAATGGCTGAATTTTCTTTTTTGGGTGCACTATCCCTTTAACATTACTAATAGGTTTTTTTAATATGATTTACCACAAGGTGGCGACTTCACAGTGGGCTGTTTATGATTGTGTGGTACTTTAACTTTGCAGGGTTGGCGGTGAAAGCAAACGAATATGTCTCTTAAATTCTTTAAACTCACTTATATTATTTAAGAAAGTAGATATTACAAAATTATTTTGAGATTTCATGATGCAATGTCTGAAAAAATGATTCATAACATCCTACTTCTCATGTCTGAGCACTCTGAGGACGCACATTTTTATACCAATTAAGGCCTTATTTATAGTTTGATAAATCTAATGCCTATTAAGAATTTTTAAGGTTCACCACTGATACAGCCTGAATGGAATGATCCTTTGTTTCATGACCACATTTCCCCACAAAGGCGAGGATTCGACCATGAGACTGGCAGTTGGATCAGGCTCCTTCGATCAGACTGTTGAATGGTCGATTATTCAACACATGAAGGGCACATGTACTTGATTTATTATTGAAACACCTCCATGTGATTGTACATTAAGTAAAAAAAATAGAGAGTAGTTGATCACCTCTGCAGGAAGACCTCGTAGCGCCGTCTGTAAGCAAAGCCGGCCCTCCTCACCCTCAGATTCTCCATCAGCCCCAGATACTTGACCTGGTGACGGATCAGCACCTCGTCAAACCGACCTGGGGAGAGAGTGTGGGGGAGGCAGAGCAGGGTCAGATCGGTCGGAGAAAAATGTAACGTCTGTTGGGACCAAATGAACCAGAGAAAACCAGTAAATGCTAAACAACAGCAGTAGGAGTGACGAGGGACAGAGACGCAGTGTGAGGCCAACAAAAGGCCGACTGTGGAGGGAAACAAAGGCCGGCCCGATATACTGACGACCACACGGAGAGTTACACTGCCGCCGCTCATGCAGCTGAAAACAAACTGTTTGGGTTGGAATTAGTGAAAGCACAGGATTAACGTGATGCTTCTGGGAAATATATTAGCTCGCTGACACTGCTAAGCTGCTTCATCTGAGTGTTTACAGGAACTGTTGCTTTAAACTCACATCAAACCTGTAAAACTATTATTATTATACTCAGTGTGTGGAAGCACGTTAAGGCCAGAATGATTTAAATCTAATCAGTGAGTCATTTCACAAAGTCTTTATCTTTAAGGTTCAGTCCAGATTCATCTGGTCCTGCAGGTTGGATTGGTCAAACTCAGACACCAAAATTCAAGATAGAAACTTCAAATCTGACCCAGGTGATGCAGGATAATCAACCAGGTCTGAAGTCAGACGTCTGTGTCATCAGGTGTGTTTGTTTTTGCACCTTTCTAATGTGCTAGGTAAAGATCAGGTGGACTTGATGTTCAAGTTGAGTTTCACTAATCCACTTTATGACTTGACCTCAAACATTTGATCACACAGAGAAAGTGTTTCAGCAGCTGGAGGCAGCTTTTTGTAATTGTTTCTCATGAGAATTAACCCTTTTGCTCACTGATTCTGCGCTGCTACGTGCCTGGCGTTTTTACCAGAGCGCTCTGAACTCCTTGAGACGGAAAAACTTCAACTTCATCTCCGCTTTTGTCCAATCAGATGACTTGAGAGGCGGGCCTTCTGTGGTGGTCATAACAAGTTTACAGTTGGTAAACAATGGAGGAGAAACTGGTGGTGCTCAGTCGCTCAGCAGGATCAATCAACTCTCTGTAGTTGGTATTCATTTTTGTTATGCTAGGCCCAACGTTACACAGCAGGTTGTCAAACTGAGTCATCCTAAAATGTGCCTGTAAACATCCATGATGGAGGAGAAGCTCCTGGACCAACTGGTGGTACTCCCCATGATCCAGCCTCTTTTTTAGGGTCTCATGTACCCACACAGATCTCTGTTTATCTGCTGACAGCCTCTCACCCTCAGCCAGAGCTACAGACAGCACCCTCTGCCTCAACATGTCAGCAGCTACACACTGATTAGTCAGATAAGTGAGATAAAATAAATAAATATATAAATGATAGATTGATTACAGCGAAACGTTAGGGTGGGGAGGTGATGGGGTGGTTGCCTGACAACGACTGCATTCTGACAGTGGTACATCAATCAGATAATCTGTGAAAAAAAGTCATGCTCCTCTGCTTCCTCATGGCGCTTCAAATGGCATTTGCAAGAATCACGAAAACAACCAATCAGAGCAGCAGAGTCTGTAACTCAGCCGTCAATCATGTCAATCACTGCTCTGAGCTGTGGTCAAACTGTCAAACTAGGCAGCGCTGATCAAATATGAATCAAGACTCTGTCACTGTTTCTCTCCTCAGATGTTTCCAGAAACACATTTTAGTGACTGTTTAGCTGTGAAATGAGACAGTTGGTGCTGCTGGTGGGCGGAGCTTGGTGCGTCGGTCAAATGTCTCCAATGTAGCGGCTGGGTCACAAACATCATCATTTTACAGCCAGTCATTAAAATATGTTTCTGAACATATTTGTGATGAGAAACAGACGATGCAGTGACACAATCTTGATTCATATTTGACCAGCGCTGCTTCATTTGACAGTTCACGAGCAGTGATTGACAGCTGCTCTCTGAAAATGACCTGTGGTCAGCCAAAGCTGTCACATGTTAGACTTTCAGAAGCTTGAAAACAGAGGTGAGCAGACGTGTATTAATCTATAGCTGTCTCAGACCACTTGAATTAAAATATGCTCAAAGTTAATTATGGAATTTTTGCCCAGTGACGCCAGAATTAAACTGCGTACCCGAGCTTTAACTTAACCTTCTGAAAAAAAAGAAATTCAGGATTTCAAAGTAAAACATTTCGCCGTGATAAATTCAGTGATATATAAATTCCAACTTTGGTTATTCAGCAGTGATTACATTTCACAATCAGGCATTTAGTTACTTACACAATTCAAATGATTATAACCATTATCTGCTTCCATATTAGACCTGCCATATTGCACTGTATGCACTGTGTCCCCACACATTTTCATGGACAGAAAGACCCATAATAAAATTTACATTTAGGAAAAGCATGCACTGCACTGTATCTGCTGCACTTGCCGGCCTGGTTACGGTACTTTTCCACACACACACACACACACACACACACACACACACACACACACACACACACACACACACACACACAGGAGAGTCTCACTTCCCATAACAAACACCACCACACTACGTCACATATACACGTAACGTCTAAAAGCAGAAGGCTTGGCCGCTATAAGTCATGGAGAATGAGAACTGTGCAAGTTTTATATTTGTATCAAGCATCAAATAATTGAGCTCATTTGCCTTACTTGACATTGTACGTCCTTCGATGCAGAAACGATATATGGATATATCTAAGCTGACACATATCAGAGCTACTTAATGTCAACAGCTAACTTTAAAAATTCCATCTCATCAATCCGTCCTGACCACCTCCTCTCTCCTAATGTCAAGTCCAGTTACTTTTACTGACCAATGTTAATGTCAGTCCATTTTTCCATCAGTCCATCATTAAAAAGAGAAAAACAAACATGTTCTGATACATGACTTGAAAACACGCCTTACAAACAAGTGTTTAGAGTGCTGAGGAGAAACTTTGATAATAGTTTTGAAATAATCTGTGATGTAATGCACACAGGAGCTAAAATAACTGAATGGTGTTAAGATGACGAGGTGCCTGAACTGAATTGTTTTTGGTTTAAATACGACATATGACACTTATTAGACTTACTACTTGCGATTAGAGTTCACTTATCACACACTTATTCCTATTGCACCAAACTGAGAAAACAGGAGCTGACTTCATACCTGATTGCTTGGAGTCATTGGGCTTGATGCAGCGGACGTATGACGGCTCCTTCGACATGAGGATCTCCATTAGTTTCGCCAGACTTGCTTTGAACTGGGTGGCTGCCTGGAGGGGCAGACACAGACACACAGACAGATGGAGGCTGGTTAGAGAGGGATGAAGAGATGGAGGTCAGAGGACAGAGAGGAAGCTGCTCAGTGACCGGAGGTAGAAACTGTTGAGGAGATGAGTACGCGACTCCAAGCCGCAGGCAGAGATGATGACCTAAGAAGAGCTACGCAAGCAGAGGGGAGGCTGATGTGACTGGCAGTCCAGTGGAGACTGAACACTGGGCCCAGTGTGGAGGACTGGGAATCTAACTTGCCAGCCTGTGACAGTACCCTGTTCAAGTGTGTGTGTGTGTGTGTGTGTGTGTGTGAAGGGCATACAAGTGTCAGGGCATTCCTCAGTGAGTGGGACGCCGCAGAGAATCCCCATCAGACCACCCACTCCACACCGGAGAGGGGAAACACACCACTGTTTGTGTTGCTGTGGGAAACTATGTTGGGATGTGTGAGCGCATGATTTATAGCAGTGTGGAAACATGCAGAGAAACCTCGGGAGCACACACATGAAGAACACGGGATCTCACCGTCTCTGGACGTTTCTTGTCAGTCAGCTCCTCCCTGTCGAAACACTGGGTCAGGATCTTGTTCTCGGACATGCACATCACCTGCACACACACAGAGGACGTTTTAACCTCTGAGTTGGTCACACACTGTTCCAGAAGCACAGTCTACTGCTTTGTCTTATGATCCCCACACTTTATTATCTCCCCTTTTTAAGATCTGTCTCACCTCTTTTAGGTTCCTGAAGAGCAGGTCGTTGTTCTTGTCCAAAAATCCTGAGAGAGAGAAGATGGAATATGAGTCCTGATACATGTCCTGATCGTTCACTTCCACTGAGGGTCTCACATGAGATGAGATGCACTTTGATTTTACATTAAAAGCCTCCCAGCAGTCAGAAGGGTTAAACCCTCACATGGCAGGGAGATGCTTGTAGGAAGTGTTGTATTGGACAAAAAATGGAGTAAAAGCAACTGGAGTGGAGTGTTTGTTGAGTCCCATCAAGCGTTACATTCTCAGGCGACACATTTGCAGTTAACAGCAGCAGATTTCCACTCAAACATTTGAGTAATTTTTGTAACAACGGCTCATTGATTCCAGACCAAAGTGAACAAAAGCGCTTTCTCGTTTATAGCCGGCACCTCTCTTGTCCTTTTTTCTGCTGAACTGAAAACTCTGGCTGACAGATGTGACCGGCTGCAGCTAGATTATTTCTAATGTTAGCTTGATGTGTCAGTTGAAAACTCTCTAGTTGACTTTTCCAGTTTTCCAGTCTCTTTCATGTTTCCAGTTGACTTGTTTTAAAGCTAAAACCTTGTCAAATGGTCGCACACTGGTCTGGTCACCTGGTGTCTCATTTATAAACACTGTGTACGCACAAAACGAGGCCAGAAAGAGGTACACACACACACACACACA